ATGTCTGCCTAAGAAAGATATCTTCTGTAGTATAAGAGAATGACTCAGCACAGGAATCCAGATAGCTGCCCTCTGAGCTCTATTCCCCCAGCCAGCACCCCTAGATTCTCCTCACACAGCTTTAGTCCACTCTTCCCTTTCTCTGTCGGAGCCCAAGGTGAGTGGCTGCATCTGAAATTTTGTGCACGGGACCTTTAAGAAGGTGCCTGAATATCCAGCCATCTCTCCCTGGCATACAGAAACCCTGCTGCTTTTTGCAGCCAGATGTTATGTGGGCACCATTCTCAGTTCTGGTGCTCTTGACTGGGAAGCCCAGCTTGGAGTTTAGGCCCCTGAGTTCTCAGTGGGAACCCTCCACAACTGAGATATCCCTCTGGACCTTCAGCTGCTGCCCGTGGGAGCCCAGTCAGCCCTCTCACACCTCTGCACTTTCTACTGGTCTCTATGCTGTCTCCACTTTAGGTCCTTGATTTTGAGGGTGCTCTCCAGCTCGTTTTCAGTTGCAGCTGATTATTCAGGATGCTTTTTCTATATTTTAGTTGTAATTCCAGTTTGGTCCTGGGAGAGTATCAGTGTAGCTTCCCCTTAATCTGCTGCCATCTTGGAATCCAGTACATGTTACTTTNTTGCAGCTGATTATTCAGGATGCTTTTTCTATATTTTAGTTGTAATTCCAGTTTGGTCCTGGGAGAGTATCAGTGTAGCTTCCCCTTAATCTGCTGCCATCTTGGAATCCAGTACATTTTAAAGGCATATCACTGAATGTCATGTAAGGTATAGTACACCTGGCAAACAATGGTCACTTATTAAATAAGAGTTTGTTGGCATTTTAAATAGGTCTTTACTGATTTCAGGGAGAGGGAGAAACATCAATGATGATAGAGTCATTGATTGGCTACCTACTGCATGCCTCTATTGGGGATTGAGCCCGCACTTGGGCATGTGCCTGACTGGGAATCGAATTTCGATCTCCTGGAACATAGGGTGATGCTCAACTGCCGAGCCACACCAGCCAGGCACTCTCTTGACATTTTAAATTCTTTTGATTTGAGTATTATTTTGAAAGCTTTAGCACTTTCCTCACTGTCACAAAAGGGTGTCTTCTAAAGTAGCATGGAACCCTGGTGTTGCTCAGTGGTTAAAACATCAGCCAGCTCACTGAAGGGTCACAGGTTCAATCCCAGTTCCCAACTGTCTCTCTCATATCGATGTTTCTCTCTCCCTTCCTTACACTCTCTCCAAAAAGCAATGGAAAAAATATCCTCAGGTGAAGATTAACAAACAAACAAAAAGTAGCATGGACTTTTTGGTAAGACTAAATGTCATCATTTTTAAACTTAATCTCAAGCTGAAGGAGTTTCTTGGTGTTTATCTTGTATACTTGATTGGAAAACATAAAAAGCAGTGAAATTCAGGAAGTAGCCATAAATGTAAGGGGACAGAAAAAAATTTAGAAAAAAAGGCTAGTTAGAATCTAGGGGAATGTTTAATATTTAAAACTTTATCCTAAAGGGAACTGAAGTGTGAATTCCTGACTTCTTAAGTATTCTCCTGTCTAGTATATTAGAATAATTGAAAAGACAATAAGCTTTTGATAGATCCACTAAAGTATACTAAAATCAAGTCTGGCTGTCCCTTCAACTTTACAAAGATTTTGTGTTTGTCTTAAATTTTAAGAACATGTTAAGAGCAGGCTATCAGGACTACATTGTAAACACTGAGCCTCTGAAAACAAAGGAGAGATAGTAACTGCTCAGACTTACATCAAATGGCTGGTGAATCCCCTTGGCAACAGCTTGGTACAGAGGGCTGGTGGCATTGCTGCCCCTCTTGACATGTGGCCCAGCGCCGAGAACATGCTGGAGAACACTAAATGCATTTGCTTCTGCACTTCCTGTGGCAGCACTTTCTGCTACAAAAGCAGCATGGACAAGACTGTCTCCATTCTGCTCTCGAATTTCACCTGGGGCCATGTAAGGAGAGGGTGAAGAAAGTGGCGTGGTCACCATTGGTTTNGTCTCCATTCTGCTCTCGAATTTCACCTGGGGCCATGTAAGGAGAGGGTGAAGAAAGTGGTGTGGTCACCATTGGTTTTATTCTTCAGTACTCTGTGCCATATAGTATGAACCTACTAAGATTAAGCCTTTCTGAAGCCCAGTACTCTTTCTGTGCCATCCTGNTACTAAGATTAAGCTTTTCTGAAGCCCAGTACTCTTTCTCTGCCATCCTGCCCCCCCCCCCAAAACATGTTTAACAGACAACGCCCAAGTGATCTATTTGTTTCCTTCCATATCAAGACTATTTCATTGTTGATTGGGGTGAGGGGTGGGGGATTCAGGCTTCTGAAAAATTAACCGTAATAGAACAAAACACTCACCTCCACGGTATTTGGCCTTTGCACCAGATAAACCAAGCCCACCTCTCATGTTCAGAAATCGTTCCGCAACTTGCTTTAGAACAGGATGACTCACACCTATTTTACCAGAAAGAAAACAAGCTAGAACCAGAATTCCTAAGACACAATTGTAAAACATCTAATGTTTTAAAAATAATGATTATACAATTCAAATATTACAAAAATAAACAGTAAAAAGTCCTCTCCCGTAAAATGCCATTCTCCCAGAGATATCCATTTACAGTTTACCACATATTCATCTAGAACTTTTCCTATGCATGTATTAATATAACTTTCATTTTCTTTATTTCCAAAATGGTGCTATTCTACTGATATGGTCTTTAACTTGTCTTTTGTAATTTATATCTAAGTGAATGGTCTACATCAAACCTTTAATGGTTATAAAGAATTTCATTACATGAATATACGATCATTTACTTAACCCCTTCTTTTTGGATTTTCAGGTTTCCAATAGTTGGCTATTAAAACAATATTCATTATGTATCAAAGGACACTTCTAAGATAGTAAAAAGACAACTCACAAAATGGGAAAAAATTTCCAAATTATGTATCTGTTAAGGAATTAGTATCCACAATACATAATAAAGTCTTATACCTAAGTTGACAATAAAAAAAACTAACCACCCAATACAAAAATGGAAAAAGGACTTGAACAGAAATTTCTTCAAAGATGATATACAAATGGCTAGCTAACACAAAATAAAATGTTCAATGTCATTAGTGAAATACAAATCAAAACCACAATGAGATTTCACATCCACTTGGACGGCCATAATCAAAAAGGCAGAAAATACCAAGTGTTGGTCAGGATGGGGAGAAATTGGAACCCTTGTGCACTGTTGGTAGGAATGTAAAATGGTTCGATTGCTTTGGAAAACAGTCTGGTAGTTCTTCAAATGCTTACACAGACAGTTACCATGTCCTGGCAATTCTACTCCTAGGCATGTACCCCAAAGAATTAAAATGTGTTCTAACAAAAACCTTATACACAAATGTTTATATTCACAATAGCCAAAAGCTGGAAACAACCCATAGTCCAACTGATGAATGGATAAATAAAATATAGTGGTGGAATATTTTTCAGCCAGAAAAGGGAACACTGGTACACGCTTGTGCACTGTTGGTGGGAGTAAAATATGGATGGACTTTGTAAACATTATGCTAAGTAAAAGAAGTCAATTACAAAAGACTACATAATGTATGATTCCATTTATGTGCAAACTCCAGAATAGTTAACTCTGTATTGACAGAAAGTAGATGAGTGGCTGCCAGAGAGGCAAGGAGGAGGTGGAATGGGGAGTCACTGCTAATGAATATGGCGTATTTTTTGGGGGATGATGGAAATGTTCTGAAATAGCATAGTGGCAATAGTTGCACAACCCTGACTAAACTCCCACCAACAATTTTTGAGAGTGCCTACTATTTCCATACCCTGGGTAATACTGGGCAGTGTCAACCTTTTAATTTTTGCCAATCTCACGGATAAAAATTTTCTTAATTATCAAGGCTTTCCATTTTTTACAATGATAATCAACCCCCCTCACATCCCCCACAAATTGTCTGTTCATGCCATTTGCCTATTTTTCTATTAAAGTGTACTTATTTAAAACCCCCCCCAAACTTATATAACCTCCTTGCCTAGAGAAATTTGCCCTTTGTTATAGGTTTTGCAAATACTGTAATGAATTTAAAACTAGTAATTTACAAAGTTAAGTGTTGGATTCTGCTTTCCAAGAAAACACTAGCAATGCCTGTGAGACATAAACAGAGGACTGAGTTGTCAAATTTTGTTCAATCCTGTGTTCACCTCATTACAGTTTAAAGGACTACCCAAGGAAGCAAAATGACATATAGGCAATTCCCAACTTACCAAGTCCAATCAAAGCCATTCTTGCACTTGTAAAATGGTTCTGAACATAGGAATGTAACTGAGAAATTTAAAAACATTTATTAGGTGATACTGGTATAAATATATAAAGAGCTGTAAAAAAATTGCAGGTCAGCAGAAAAATGCTCACTTTAAAGTTGTTATAACAAATGATAAAGGACTACATGGATTTTCTTTAAAAATTACTGCTTTAAAGGACTAGAACTTAATGTGGTAATGGTTACATAACTGTGAATATAATGAAAACTACTAAAGTGTGGCAGAGCCGGCATGGCTCAGTGGTTGAGCATCTTCGACCTATGAACCAGGAGGTCACAGTTCAATCCCATTAGGGCACATGCCCAGGTTCCGGGCTCAATCCCCAGGTAAGGGGCAGGCAGGAGGTAGTCAATCAATGACTCTCTCATCACTGATGTTTCTTTCTCTCCCTTCCTCTCTCTGAAATCAATAAAAACATATTTAAAAACAAATGAACAAACAAAAAACTACTGAACTGTGGACTTTAAATAGGTCAACTGTATGGTATGTTAATTACATCTCAATAAAGCTGTTACTGGGAAAATAAATAAATAAATAAATATAAAAGGGAATGAAAAATTAGAGCATACCCTGGCTTGAACTTGAAAAAAATGGGACCTAGTTTACGATGTTTAAGATAATGTGATTTAGCCCAGCTGGGCGTGGCTCAGCGGTTGAGTGTCAACCTGGGATCCAAGCAATCGGGGTTCGATTCCAGGTCAGGGCCCATGCCTGGGCTGCAGGCTCGATCAATGACTCTCTCATCATTGATGTTTCTATCTCTCTCTCTCCCTCTCCTTTCCTCTCTTTGAAATCAATAAAGATATATTAAAAAAAAAAAAAGATAATGTGATTTAAGCAGCATACCAGGTTTCTTTTGTCTTTATGCAGATAGTACTAAAGCACTATTAACATTCTACAGAAGGGCTAACAATTACCTCACTGTATCTCTCTCACCCATCTTGCCATGAGGTTATTGTCTATAATATGGTTTCCAACCTTCATAATGAAAGAATTATCTGGGGAGCTTACTAAACAAAAACACTGTCCCTGTTTCTCCACCATTCCTAGGCTCACTACACAAACTGATATATAGAACTCAATGTGGAATCTTTTATTTAAAACTACCCCACCTGCCCCGGGTAACCTGAGAATCAGTGAGATTTGAAAAGCACTGGTTTATATTATGATTATTTTAAACCTAATATACAAAAGCCAGACTTAAACATGTGTTCTCAACAGGAGCACTATTGCTCAAGGGAATGAAAATTGGTCCTTAAAGGTAGAAAAAAAATCTTATTCCTTTTATATACAGAGTACAAATAAAGACCCAGTACATAAACAGATATGTAGTATATCTGTGGTATTAAAAAAATCACTGGTGGGGGGAGGAGGGAGAAAGAGAAGAAACTGGCTACAAAGGTTCCTTGGGAATGGGTTACAATGTTGAGAATCACTAGGCTAGGGTAATGAGACTGAACTTCTAATCAAGTCATCAAATTTTTGTGCTGTAAAATGGTGTCCACAAATACGCCCTGGATGTCCCTATTCTTTCCTTTTTTCCTATTGTGGTTTTTCTATTGAATGCTGCCATTGCTCAAAGTATTCGAGCATCAATTTCTTTAGAATTTCCTTTAGCCTAGGGACACATTTAAAAAATGCTAATAATTGGAGATAATCTTGGTTTCTCATTTTGGTATTTATCTACAAAAACTTTTTTTCTTAAATTATTGTTGACATACAACACACATCTTGTGTTTTAAAAAATGGAATCCTTGCCCAGCTGGTGTGGCTCAGTGGCTGAACACCGATCTATGCTATAAACAATGCCATAATAGATAAATGTTTTGCTTTATGTTGTCTTTTAGCTATCTTAGTAACTTATCTTCACAAGATATTTTTAGTCACAAGATTATATTTAAACATTTAAATACTGTTTAAAAGAGATACACATACGCAGAAAAGGGTCTAGAAGACAATAAACCTACATATTCACATTGACTGCCTTTAGGTATATGAGACGTTTTCCTTCATTTTGCTTGTCACTGTTTTCTGAATTTTCTATCATGAATATGTTCCTCTTATAATAAAAATTTTTAAAAGTTAAAACATAAACAAAAATTGTTCCAATAGAATTTTAGTTAAAAAGCTGATGAGGGGNCTTATAATAAAAATTTTTAAAAGTTAAAACATAAACAAAAATTGTTCCAATAGAATTTTAGTTAAAAAGCTCATGGGGAAAAAAAAGCAAGCAAGCGAATTTCTTAAATTAGAAGATAAAAAGAAAAATTCGCAAACAAACCCGACATGGCAGACGAACATTCAGTTTAACGTGAAAACAAGCCCATTCTAAAGTGCAACGTGCTCTGCAATACCTCATCTGGTGTCACTTTTCCAATCCTATAATCAGGACAATACAAGGAATTAGCCAAGGCATTTCGATAAGCTGCAGCATGCAAATTTTCAATGATACCTGAAAAATAAGTAAAGGAGCAGTTATGGAAATGTAATTTAAATAAAGACAGTAACATTTTTAGAACTTAGAAAGCAACTAGACTATACAGCTTTGGTCATCTTCTGGCAGCTTTTATTTTTTAAATTTTTATTTGTTCATTCTCATTTGAGGATATTTTCCCACTGATTTTAGAGAGGGCTAGAAGGGAGGGGGAGAGAGAGAAACATCGCTGTGAGAGACACACTGATTGGTTGTCTGCCACACGTATTCCAACCAGACCAAGGATGGAACCTGCAACCCAGGTTACATGTCCTTGACTGGCAATTGAATCCGCAACCCTTTGGTGCACAGGTTGATGTTCTACCCACTAAGCCACACTGGCCAGGGCATCTTATGGCAACTTTTAAAATCCTGCTAGTTGACACTGAGAAAAATAAGAGATTATACACATGACAGTAGTTTCTACATGCTAGAGTCCACCTAAACACTTCTCTACCTATCTGGTATTATCTGGAAAGTATAATGACCTGGGTTTCAGGAAGTCTGACTTGCCATGTGACCTTGGATAAATCATTTAATCTGAATTTTACTTACTTCTGGGTTCCCTCTCTAGGTAATGAGGGAGTTGTCAGGGTAAGAGCAGCTAGGAGAGTGTGAAGCTTAGGTCATATTACTAGCTTTCAAGGGTCAAATGCTACTATCAAAATGCACTCCTCACCAGTGCCCTGGCACTGTCCCTGCTTTCCTGCTTTGGAGCCTTTTCTTGAGGTACATCCCTTCCATTTACTCATTATTGGGCAACCATCCTATGCCAGGCCCTGGGCTAAGTGCCGGCAATACAGACAAGAGCAAGACATAACGTCTGCCCTCAAAATGTTAAGAGAAAAAAACCGTGAAATCAAGTGTTATGGGTGTGATGTCAATAGTACATCAAAAGTACAGAGGGACATGGGAAGGCAGTGGGAACTACACAGGAGTTAACAGAAGTAAACTCTGGGTGAGTCTTACACAATGAGTAGGTATTTGCCAGGTTGAGTGATTTGGGAAAGTCAAGCAGCAGAAACAGACAAAGGCATAAAGTATGACAACTTGATTTAAAGGGGAACTACAGCTAGGAGGGGAGAGGGGAGAGCAAGAAACAAGGGAGACAGGCAGGACCAGGTCATGTACGTTAGCACATATTCTAAGTTAAGGAGTTTGGGCTTTCTCCCAGACAACTACAAGCCTTTAAAGGATTTTCAAGCCAGAGGGATCACTGTACTGTAACAGCAATGTGGAAGATGCGCTGAGAATGTAAGCCTGCAGGCAGACACCTACCAGTAGACTACAATAACAGGCAGAAAGGATGAGGGCTGGAGACTCGCTGCTACCATTGGGGAAGAAGCCAGTCTGGACGCANTGTGGAAGATGCGCTGAGAATGTAAGCCTGCAGGCAGACACCTACCAGTACACTACAATAACAGGCAGAAAGGATGAGGGCTGGAGCCTCGCTGCTACCATTGGGGAAGAAGCCAGTCTGGACGCATAAGTTGTCTTTTCTAAATTTTACCACTCTACCTACAGAGTATCCCCCCAAAATGTATACACGTTTTGAATAATTATTAATTCCAATGGGTTAAATCTGAAAAGAAACATCAATTGAGCTATCAGCTGTTAAGTGTGTACACATTTTTTTGGGACACTGTATTTCTTTGGCAGAGGTCCAGACTAACAAAGATCAATCATACTCCTTTGTGACAGAAAGTATCATCATGAGATAACATCAGCTAACATGGACCAAGCACTCATTATGTTGCAGACCCTTGACAGGAGACCTTCCCTACAGGCCTGCACGCTGCCTTTCTGTGTTTGTTTCTATATTAGGTATATGTACTGTGACTCCCAAACTTGTTATGATGGCTTTATAATGTAGGTGTCTTGTGGGACTCAATGGTGCAGTCTTCCAGATCATCTAGGCTAGGTGCTCCAGGAACGTCTCTTGCGTGGGTTATGCACGCCCTCCTATTGTAATTGAGTCTTGCATGATACAGGCCTGTTCATGGGTGGAGTTAACTCTCAGGCTGGCTGACTATAAGGATAAAGTTCTATCACAGT